CTCTTCAATGATACGAAGAATGTCGCATGATTCTCCTGTAAATAGCTTTCAACAAGTTCCCAACACGTATCACTATGAAATCCACTCAATGGATGTCTTGGCAATGACGGCAATGGTGGCAACGCCAATGATGCACGTCGTGCATATGACAATGCTGCCGCTGCTGCATTGTGTGCCGCTGCCGCTACAGTTGCCGCAGGATTAAATGATATTCCTGGTATACTAGGCGGAAATGTTGACATTGATGTCGATGGTTGCGATGAATTTGCGTTCGGTTGTGGGGGATAGGTCGAATAGTGATACGTGTTGGGAACTTGTTGAAAGCTATTTACAGGAGAATCATGCGACATTCTTCGTATCATTGAAGAGATATTATGTGATGCACCGTTCGAGAGATTTCCAGTACTACTTGCATATTTGGGGTTAGTGACGTTTAATGCACTAGTCGTTGTTATTTGTGGTGGAGGCGCATTCGGGAATGGCGGAGCTGCAGTTCGATAGGCAACATCTTCGGGGTTTATCTGTTTTGGAGATGATTGATGATGATACTGTTGCAAGTCGTCCGTGAGATCACCGCTTCGTGATCTATTGAGATTAAGTAATGAGCCACTACTACTTGCTCGCTTGATTGTAGATTCTAAACTAACTGAGCGTTGATGTTGTGAATTATGATGGTGTGCAGAAGGGTAAGCTTTGTGTACGTTAGGGTAATGCATGTGGTGTGTATTGAATGCGGTAGACGGGTATGGCCCCCGCATTGGAGACCCGTTAGTTATCGCTTGAGATGATGTGCCATTTAGATGAACTGTCGAAGAGTTGGGAGATGTTCCAGAGGTTGAGTGAGCGCGACCTGACGATGCTGCTTTTCTGGGAGATGCAAAAGATGTGGGGGAAGATGTTAATGGTGTATGATAAGATGAAATGTTCAATGATTTCGCTGAAGAAAGGCTGCTATCTCTACGATGAGTTCGCGAGTAGTGATGATTGTCTTGGTCTTCTTCTTTTACTGCTTTAGGACCGCCGCCTTTGCTTGTATTGGTGTCGTCACTCGACGGGTGACGCCGTGATCTTTTACTTATAGAGTTTTTTTCATGTGGGTCCCATCTCCCGCTGGGACTATTAGGACCAAATCGTATGCTATCGTATATGCTTCCGTTCGATCTCATTTCCTCCTCCATTACCCAATGTCTTAGTAGTTGATCTCCGTATCTTTGGAGCTCTTCTACACTTATGGATAATCGGAATTCGTTTAATATGAGAAACTCCAATTCCAAATGATTCAGCTCTGATACCGGCAGACCTCCAACCTGAATGAGAATACGGATAATTGGTTAATAAATGTTTACATTACCAGTTTTACAAAATAAAATTGTATCTCTTTACGATTTCAATATTAAGCGATTGGAATCAAAAATATATAATAATGTGACGAAAAAGGTGAATTAAATTAGCCAGACCCCATAAAAACGTAGTTCGAGTCAAAAGTCAACTACGTTTACAAGATGCTAACAAGAATGGACGAACCAAACATTCAATTAAACAAAACGATTCATAATTAATTCTGAGCAGAGTTCCTATAAGATATATATTATGTGTATGTACTTTTTAACAAAGGGATGGTTTGAAAGACGTTAGCAAAGTTGCAAAATTTCCATATGAGAAATGTGAAAAAGCATAGTTGTGTAGGAACGAGACATAAAAAAAGATTATGATAGAGTCGGTTGCTTGTAGAGGGAAATTCGATTATTTCTTAATGATTGAAGCCACTGTGTTCCTTTTCAAATCTCCAATAGTCTCGGTTTTTTCAACGTCAAACATACATTCGTTTTCCAACCACTTTTGACCCTGCACACACCGACATTACTCTTCCCCTCGCATTATCAGACAAACATACCTTAGCATACCGTGAATTAGTGAAAAAGACGTCCGAGAAGAACTTTGACGACACCATAATTCCCGAAATTATCAACCGATGGATATTGAAACTGTCTATTGAAAATGGCTTCCCTGTTGTAGCCAAGGCATTCTTTGACATGCGATCGAAATATACCAACAATGATAGGAAACACTCATTTGTTGTCGGACAATACTTCAAGATCCTGGCCAGATAAGAATATATGTCGATCGAAGGTACTGAGCGCGCATGAAACCGCGTGAAGGAAGGAGAAGAAGTGCTGGTAGAAGAGGAATCAGAGTGGGAGTGTGCGCGAGATTTTATTTGGTCGTTTGCTTGTGTCATTTTTGCTAGTAGAGAAGCTAGCATCTTCAAAGTGTCGGTGACGGGAAAGTTGGCAAGGTCGAGTGTGTGCATTGTGTAGATGGAACTGAAAAAGGGAAAAGGTGTGGAACAGTTTGAATAGGAAGAATGAACAAATGTAGTCTGAGATGCGTATATATATGTAAAGACCAACTGTACTTTTTATTTTATATAGTCTTTTTGGTATTTCTCTTTGGAATATTGTTCGTCTGTAGTTTTGTGTAGTTTTTGATATTCAATGTGTATTATAGTTTTAGAGAAACTAAATAAGTAGTATTTATACTAGCTTTTTGCAGTGTATTAAAATGTTAAAAGTATCAAGTGTGACGTTGTCCTCTTGCTCAGTGTTTGCCTTGTATTTCGTCGTAGTGAGTGTGCAAGTTTGCGATGTAAATGCACAAGTCAACTATAACGGCAACACGCGCAGGGGACAGGAGGATGGGATGGGGTTTTTTGCAAAAGTAGAGATGAATAAATTAGAGTTTAAAAGAGAAAGTAAAAAAAAAAACGCAGTGCATAAGTTGAGAATTGAACACACACACACACACACAATTTGACCAAGTCTAGGGTCGTTATTGTAACACGAAATTGTTCTTGTCAGCGGAGGCTGGTTTGTGAAAAGAGCTGACATTGAGATTTTGCGTAAATGTGGTCTCGTAATAGTAATTGTTGGTGATATACGATTAATAATTATAACCGTGAATGAGTAACAATTATATTTGGTATTGTATATAAACTTTAAATTATAAATATTAAATGTTTTGGTTTATTAATTCTAATTGGAATGTTTTGACTACACCAATTTATTTACTATTGTTCAAACAACTTGTATTTTCTAAGCGAGAATGACCAACCAGCAAACGCGCGATACGTCTAACGTAATTAGATGAATGTCTGCTTAGTTATCACTCTATCATTCCCATTCCTTTTGATCGGTGATGTGCGAATTGTGTTGGAAACAATCTCGAGACGGAATAAGTAAAAAACCTTGAGCGACTAGTCGTTTCGTTATCTGATAGTATTGGTTAATTGATATGGCGGATTGGGCGTATGTAAGTTGATCGAATCGATTGGTTACATTAATATTAAAACATTCTCACACACACATACTACATACTACAACAACAACAACACATATACAAATACATATACATATACAACAACACTTTACAACAAACAAGATACATACAAGATACATACATCACACACACACATATATACATACATCACACACACAGATATATATTTATACATGTATACCCATATACATATAAGTATAACGTATAACCACACTACGCCCAATTTATTATCCACAGTCGAATTTTATGCCTTAATTTTGCCATGCATCAACATTTTAATGCATACGGTCACGACTGCAACACCGTTTCCCTCCTATTTATGATTCTAACCCCCGACTTTCGGATACCCCATTTATCACCCAACTATCTCGTCCTCTCTCTGCAACGATCTCCTGTCTTTATCAAGTCTCCGTTGTACTACTGACGGACTTGGCACTGTTCCGGGTTACCCATCGAATGAGAATAAAAAGTATATGTGAAGTAAGAGTAACAACGATACACAAGCACAACACAAGCTAGTAAGCATGATGTTATCCACGAAATGAATCCTCATTGACCAAACTTACTTGCCATACGGGCGATAAGGACGGCAAATTAACTCGCCCCCATTTTCGTCTTTTTGCGTACAATGATAACAATAAACCCGTCCCAGACCAGGCAATGCTCATATTAATAACATTCTATTAACATTCATGCTTTCCCCCTGTATTTTAGTACCCATGCACAAAATCTTTGGGCTGACTAAGGAATATCACAATTTCAGGACAAAAATCAGGATTTACAACATCTTTTTGCAACACGATAAATGGTAATCTGTATTAGCTATCGAATTTAACATATGAATATCCTAATTAGCTCGTTCAAAAAAGATAACTTTCTGGAAATTGTGCAAAAACGGTTTAATGTGTCACGCGAGATAAACTCAATGAACTAACATTTTCTGTTCCCCTACCAATGCTATCACAACTTGACATTTTGGGCTCGGCGGAACGTAAACATACTCAGCCAAAAGGCATATGACAATGGGGTATAAAATCCAGTCTCGCAGCCGAGGCATGAGCTGCAAGTCTCGGGGAAATTTGACAACAGTCTTCTCGTCTCTTCAAACCCTCTCTATCTATCTATCTCTCTCTCTCGTCGAGTGTAATTAGATATTACGCTCACGTACAACTTTTCTTTGCAACTCTATCCATCTCAACTATTAAACCCCACTCTAGCGTTATCGCTACACATTTATTGTATTTATCAATACATCTACCGTCATGAACACCATCATCTCCAAGCCAGCTTCGACCACTTCTCCAAGCGTTGGCACCGTTACTGTGCCCGCAAGTAATCCCAATGATGGACCTGCTGGAAGTAACTGCGTTATTCAGTAAGATGTTGGTAACGAGGATGAGATATGAGTCCTCTCCCCCGGGCTTCAGTCGCCGAGTGGAAGTTGAGCAACAGAGACTGACTGGACCTTTTCTTTTTCTCTGTGTGGATTATATAAATATTCATATCGATATCATATGTATATCTTATATATCAATGTCCTATCTATTATTGCTTTACGAAAAAAAAAAAAAAGTTGTAAAAGTCCACAAAAGTTGTAAAAAAAATATTTTATAGGCATTTCTTATGAAATATTTTTAACAATAGTAAGAGAGAGTTATATTGAAGACTGTTATGAGTGTAGCTAACTAGTTAGTCTGATGATTATTTAATAAATGGTCTTTGGACAATAAGTGAAGCTGGCCGTATGTCGATAACAATGAAATGTTGAGTATGCGTTATGCTGATATACCACGAATTATGTCCAAAAATTATAACATGATATTTTGTTTGCCATAATCGAATAACTACCATTATTAACAGGTAAAACAAGCGTCTTGCTCAGTGTATTCTTGGCTGTGTTCCCCGAATCAATCTTGCAAGCAGCAACGCATCTTCACATATTGGTAAAATCGCTGATTTCAACATTAGCTTGTCTCAAAATGGGAAAACTCCCCCTATTTACATTTCTCCCATTGGTCGGCTGACAAACAGCAGTGGCGCGCGTGCCGCCCGTTGTTCTTTTTTCTTTTTATGTCACTACTCTCAAC